GCAGCTGAGTGGAGACTTAAAAGCAACAATGAGGATGATAGCAGCTACTTTCTGTTGTGTACAAAGTACCTGGCTCTTCCAGCTCCCTAACTCCCCCCCTCCCCCTTGGTCTTCCTGCAGCCCAGCCCTGCCAAACCTTTGCATTTCTCCCTCCTAAGGTCCAGGGGACTCTCTCTTGCTTCTGTAACTTTTCCCCTGAGCCTATGTAGCCCAGCTGGTTAAACTTTCTCTAATTTGGGGGTGGTGGTGGGGGAGGAAACAAATAAAGTACCTTAGCCATCATTCTTACAACACTGCAAGATTTGTAACATTCTAACCACTTAACAAATAGAAGGAACCCAAGGCTCAGAGAAGCTGAGTAACTTTCTCAGTGGCACAGATAGTGTAAGAGCTGCAAACCAGTCCAGGTCTCTGTGGCCCCATAGCCCCAGTCTGCCCTATCACCCTCTGCTGTCCCAGCATAGAACACCTGAGCAGGTACCACAAACTAAGCCAGCCTCCCCTCCCCCGAGCCAAGAACTTCCTTGTGCTAAAGGACTCTCTGTTGACTGGCTGGCCCTGAGTCACTCAGTCAAGGTCTCTCTCCCTTCAGACGCCGCTTCCCATGGAACATCATCCTGCTGACCCTCTTTGTGAGTTGGGGTGGAGGGGGGTGTGAGATGAGGTGAGGGAGGGCTGGCAGTGCCACTGTGGGAGATGTCTCTGGTTCTCTGTGTCACCATATCCTGACCTCTGCCTGGGTCTCCCAGTCACATTTACCCCCAGCTCTGACGCTCCACCACAGCCATGCCTCCCCTCTTTGTTTCACTCTGGTCTCTTTCCCTTCCTCAGACTCTTGCCCTGGGCTTCATGACCGGCACCATTGCCAGGTATGGTCAGGGACAGCCCGCCATGCTCCTGGGAAGTGTGTGTTCTGGGGCAGTGGGGCACCCTAGGCTGGCCATCTGCACAGGGGATCCTGGGAAGGGGCCACCCAGAAGTGGTGGTTTTGAAGTCAATCACATGTGCCTCTGGCCTCTCTCACCACCTTCCCTCCAGCATGTATCAGACCAAGGCCGTCATCATTGCGATGATCATCACTGCTGTGGTGTCCATTTCGGTCACCATCTTCTGCTTCCAGACCAAGGTGAGGGTACAAAGGGCCCTTCCATGGCCACTCTGCCCCTTTCTTGTATAGAGCTGGCCCTTAAGGGTGGCACTTGAGCAGACCTGGGAGGGCCCAGACCCCTGCCCTGGGGGTTTCCCTCGGAGACCCTAGTCCCCTTCCTGCAGAGCTGCTTCCTGTCTGTCCCTGGGCTCTCACTTCCACACCCCCAGGAGGCAGCCCGGGGACCCCCAGGAGGCAGGGCCAGTCTGGCTGGGCTGCTGGTGTGGAACTCGTCTGACAGGGGCCTCGTTCTTCCTCCCTGGCAGGTGGACTTCACCTCATGCACAGGCCTCTTCTGTGTCCTGGGAATAGTGATGATGGTGACTGGGATTGTCACTGCCATTGTGCTGGCCTTCAAATATGTGAGTGTCTTGGGAGAGCTGGGGTCCGCAGACCCAGGGCCTGGGGAGGACTTTCTGTGTAATGAGTGCAGCAGGCCCACAGGCCCCTGGGTGGGCTCTGACTTGGGAACCTCCCCACCGACTAGCAAAGGCACCAGCTGAGGCCCATCCTTTGGGTTAGGGTACAGTTCCTCTTTAGTGACCTACGGCCCTGGGAGCCATAGCACCTGAGGCCTTGGACAACACCTCGGAACTCCTGTGGGAAGTAGTGGGTGAGAGCTGTCTGCCAGCGAGACCAGGGTCTAGGAGGCAGGCTGGAAGGGGTACCCGGAGGACCAGGAGATGGGCCAGAGGGGACAGGAACCTTAGAGATCGCTGCGTCCAACTCCTCTTTTATTCTAGTCAGCTGGGGGAGAGCCTGTGGCAGAGCGGGGAGAACAGTGCTGGGAGAGGAAGCACACGAACAAGAGAGGTGCCTTCGTACTTGGCCGTGGGCTGGCCCTGCCCTTCTGTGCACAGGCACCTGGAAGGCTGTGTAGCAGGGCTGCCCTGGGGGTACACTCTGGTTCTGATGTTCATCATGGAGGTTGGGGGGCTTCCCTCCCAGCTCTCTTTAGTCTGTCCCTCCCAGGCTGGGCTGTGAGACTGCTGTCCTGAAAGTTGACAGTGACTGGGATGCGTGGTAAGGCTCTCCAGCCAGTACCTGCCTGAGTCCACCCCTCCCAGAGCTGTAAATCAACCACCTTTTCCCCAGAAATATATGGACACCTCTGTAACTTAACTCTCTTCGGAGGTTGGTTTTTACACGGCCCCGGGAGGATGGGCTGTTTTCCCTGCTAAATGTGTTACCATTCTCAATCTCTTCCAGGATCTGGAAGGCAGAGGTGGTCCTTTCACATAGGTAGCTTCCTGGACCTACCCACTTGGATGCCAGAATCCCAGGGGAAGCTGGTCCTGAGTGCCCGCCCTGGTCCATGCTTTGCTAAGATTTCTAACACCACCCCTGTTTCCTCTCCCCAGGTTTACTGGCTCCATATGGTCTATGCTGCTCTGGGGGCCATTTGCTTCACCTTGGTGAGTAAGGACCTCTCCCCCCTGGGAAGGAGAGCTGAGGGGAGGGAGAGGAGGGACTGAGCAGATGGAGCACGACTTGACCCTTCCCTCTCCCACTGCCAAGAGGTCGCACCGCCTTTCTGGGCATCCCCGCCTGTTCTCGTTCCCACTGCCCGCTGTGGAACACTCAGCAGGCCGCACTGCAGAGACAGGGCGCCTCTCCTCCTTTGCAGACTCTGAGGGTAGAGACTGTGTGTTATGCCGTTTGTTAATGTGTCCCCTAAGCACAATGCTGCATGGCACAGAGGCTCCAGGGACAGATCTGCTGACCAGAAACAAGTTCTGGCACTGTGCCCCTGGGTCCTCACTTGAGCCTGTCCCTGTAGTTCCTGGCTTATGACACGCAACTGGTCCTGGGGAACCGGAAGCACACCATCAGCCCAGAGGACTACATCACTGGCGCCCTGCAGATCTACACGGACATCATCTACATCTTCACCTTTGTGCTGCAGCTGGTGGGGAGCCGCGATTAAAGAGCACCCCGTTCTATGCCACCCAAGGCTCTCCATCCCTAGAGGGCTGGGCCTTGTGACTGGGGTCTGGGCCACAGACCCCTTTCTTTCCCCTCAAGTAATATGCCCAGTTTCCTTTCTGTCCTGAGTGGGTGGCCTCTCTGGCTGTGGATGTGTGGGTACCACCTGGTGGGGCTGGAGGAACTGGGAACTAGCGCTTGGCAGGGACTAGGCTGAAGATGTACCCACTGTGTGGCACCAAATTCTTCTTAACTGCTGGGGTTGGAGGGGAAGGGATGACAAGAGCCTCTTCCATAACTAAAAGGGAATATGGGGGTAGAAGTGACTTCAGGGCGATAAGGTTTCCCCTCCCACCATTGCCACAGGCTTCTGGCCTAAGTAGCTGGGGCTTTTTCTTCCCTCATCCCCTAACAAAGAGCTTTGTCCTCTGCCTCTGGGACTCTTACACCATTATGCCGTACTTCTCTGGCAAACCTCCCCACTCAGGGAGGTATACAAGATCTGTGCCTGTGGGTCCCCCTGCTTCAGCTCCCCTTCTGATGGCATGTATATACCGTTTATCCAGGTTGGGGCGGGGGAGGAAGATGAGAGCAAGCAAAGTCAAGCACAGGGGCCAATACAGAGCAGTATCTACCCTGGGCTTCCTAATAGCTGCGGTGGCAGAGAACGCAGGCCCATTTGCAGCCATCTGGTCCCCATTCTCCTTCTCTGAAGCTGCCTGGGGTGGGGGCAGGGTGGAGGGTGCTCCCTGGTGCTTCTGAGATCTCTGGTTAGGGGGATCTCCTGCTCCTATTGCTCAGGCAGCTCAAGGGGCAAAGGTCGAGGGACAGGGTGGTTTGTTAGGGGTAAGTGTAGCCAGGAAGGAACCAGGATGAAGAGGCTGGGCTGGGGGCAGGGAAGTAGCCTTGGGGTTACCCCGCCCGGTCTGAGAGCTGGAGAAGCCTGCAGTGGCACGTGTGGAAGCTTCCGCGTTCTTTCCCTCTGCTAACCTGGGGAGGGCCCTAAGGGGAGGGACACTTCCCCTCTGTTCTTAACTCTCACGGGGGATTTTAGACAGGACCCATCTCCCCAGCCAGCTACTGCTTTCTTCGTGACACCAAGTGCCTAAAGCTGGAAGGGGGAAGGAGCACAAGGATCACTCTATGGGGTGGGGAGGAAAGCAAATCAGCCCAAGGGTATAATTAGGACTCCTATTAAGTCCTTGGTCCTAAGTATATCATGTAAAAGGACATAACTAGAAGTGTAATAAAGATTTATGTTTAGAAGTTAAAACCCCACCTGACTCTGGTTTTCTTCACCTTCGGTCTGGCTCTGCCCAAAGCAGCTACTTGCTGTCTTCCACCATTTCTAAGATAGCCAAGTACACTCTGCCCCAGTGCTTCCTGGTGATGGATGTGAAAGGCTGGTGAGAGCTCAACCTGCATTGCTGGGAGTTGTGGGCACCACTCAGCCCGTGACCTCTCACACCACAAACCCTCAACCAAAGCTCATGAACTCTCTCCCACAAAGCTGTATGTGTGCAGATAATTTCATAGTTGGGGTGGGGGAAATGGGCACAGGTTCAGGTTTAGGTCACCAGCCCTAGGGATCACTAGTCCAAAACCTCTTACAGCGAAACTGAAGCCCAGAGAGGTTGAGTCATTTGCACTCAGCCACGAGTAGTGCTTTTTTTTTCTTTCACACCCTCAATGCCCTTTTTAGTTTTTTGTTTTTATTTATTCAAAGCTGAGAGAGACTCCACCCTCCTGGCCAGCAGCTCTGTGGGGCTTGGTCTCCGGGGCCTGAGCCTAGGCTTGCTGCTGAACTCTGTGGTTTCCCGAACCATTAAGACGGGAACACTGAATGCTTTTGTGAGACAGCACACAGAAGTAGCCAGCCCCACCCTCGGTCCCTCCCGTCCCAAGGGACTCAAAAATCCAGTCCCAGTTCCTTTCCACTTCAACACTCAATAACTTTATTAGCCTTTGGCTGGTTTCGGGGAGGTGAGGGTAGGGAGGAAGGATGGGTGCTGGCAGCAGCCTGGGCTTTGTGTGCCCTCTGGTGGACCTTAGAGGCAAAGACCAGATTTGCAGCCAAACCCAAAGGACTTTGCAGTTTGGAGGCCACAGTCAATACAGTCTAGGGGAGGGCTGCAGTGTTCCTCAGGTTTGTGCCCCAGACCCAGCTTCTGGAGATGGGGCGTATTGGGAGGAGGCCCTGAACCTCTGCCTCTCATACTCGCCCGTGTTGGATGCCCGCATGTTCTGCCGAGCCTTCATCTGCTTCAAACGGTTCTTGTCCACTTCCCGCTTGGTGAGGATGAAGAGGAGGATACCACAGGGGAAGCCGATGGCCCTAGGGGTGGGGAGATGTGCATGGGGTTTGGGGAGGGGCCATGTCTGAGCCAGAGGAGCTGGGGAGAAATCTCATTCCAGCTTCACTGATTTTGTGAGAACTCAACACCTCTTGTCTATTCAGCCTCCACACTGGCTGCTGGAGGGCCCCACACAAATCAGATCTTGCCACTGCCCTGCATAAAATCCCTTCACAGCTCTCCATCACTCCTCAGCCAAGTTCAAACACCTAGGAATGGCACAACAGGCCCAATGTAGTTGGATCTCTGCCTACTCTGTAGCTGGAGTGACACTTCTCAACACTGAGCCCTGCAATCCTGATGTACGGCGGTGCATGATTCTCCTGACAGCCCATCCTCTTTCAAGTCTTGGCAGAGTTTCCCTCTGCCTAAACTGCCCCACACCCTCTCCCACAATCCCCTTCTAATTCTGAGTAACTGCTACTTGGGAGCACTTTGGTGTGGGGAAAAGGGCATGGAGTCACAAGACCTGATAAGAATCCCAGCTCTGACCCTCAGTTCTCTCAGCCGTGAAGTGGGGATGTAGTATTTACCAGAAAGACCAAACCATTACACTGTAAAGGGCTGGAATACCTAAGGGGCTGAAAAAAAGGTTAATTTCCCCTCCCCTTTAATATCAATCAATAACATGTATTAAGGTCAGAGTTGAATCTGAATAACAATGTACTGAACGCCTTCTAGGTAAAACCTCAATTGAGTCTCACCCAAGCTCTCCCAAAAAGATGAGGCCAGGGAACCAAATTCAAATCCAATTAGCTCAGCTTACTCCACAGAAAACCTGTGCACACACTTTCCAACCTCCCCGCCCCATTCTTTCCAGATCCCCAGTCCTTGCACCCAGCACATCTGTCTCCACAATCTTGGATTCATCTTCCCACCAAACACTTAGATAAGTTTCTAGGTCCCACCCTCCCCTGGTGCCATTCCCTATTGGTGGGCAAAGGGTTAAAACTCACCAGGCTAGTCCCACAGCTTTCATGGGATTCTTGCCCCTCTTTCTGGGAATGTATTCCAGCTCAGGAGACAGGGGCTCAGGCTCTTCCTTGCACTCTGGGGAGCCATGGCTTTGCAGTGCCCGGGTCCTGTTCTGGGAAGCTTTGTTAGCTGTGGCTCCTGAGAGAATCCCTGTGGATAGAGATAATGAAGGTCAGTAGGAGGGTGAGGAGAAAGCCTGGGGAAGAGTGGTTGACATCTGAGGAAGGGAGGTGACTGCAGTATGGTGTAACAAGTGCCAGGGATAATCCAAAGGCAAATGGGAAAATCGCCATCGAGGTGACACCTTTGGAAGCCACTTCCACGTCACTGTGGGCTTATTACCCTGGTGCCAGGAGAGAGAGTTTGGTTGTTCTTTACCTCATCACAAGACAGGATGGGAAGGACTGCAGTGGGACTCACTTGAAACGCAGGAAAGAAATCCGCGAAAATGTTTGCAAACCGCAGAATGTTAGCAATGGAAGGGAGCCTAAAGGTTGTCTACTCCGTCCCCTCGTTTTATAGAAGAGGAAAACTGAAGCCCAAAGAGACGAACTTCTTCGCCCAAGGTCAAACTGGTAATTATCCGGGGCTAGAACCCAAGCCTCCAGAAGCGCAGGGCTCTTTCCTCTGCACTGCGGTGAGTGTGAAACACCTGGAGCGCGGGAGTCTAAAAGGCTTCCTTGGGACTCCCTCGCGCAGCAAGACCCCAGAGGCGTTGTGTAACCTGAACGCAGAGGGATGGGCTGGGTGAGCTTTAGAGACCACCTTATGGCCCCCAGACTCTTTAAGACCCTGCAGAGGGGTGCGAGCAGGAATCGACAGCTCTGACCTCCTGCTGTCGCCGGGAGGGATGTGAAAAAAAGAGGGTCTCCTGCAGTACGGCCCTCCCCGGGGACCCTTTCCTTACCCCGGAGGACGCGGGCATTTCTCGCCCCCCGGCCCTTCAGCGCCGTAGCAGCTACCACCGCCGCCATGTTCAGTTCCCACCCCCCTTCACCGCGGTCCCCTTCGGGAATTGTAGTTTGCGTAAGGGGCCTCCCCCGCTCCTTCCGTCCCGCCTACGGACCAGAAACTACATCTCCCAAAAGCGCTCAGAGCGGACAGAATCGAACTACTCTTCCCAGGAGAGCCGGAGGCGCGCACGCTCGCTTGTTTCCCTCCTGTCGAGGGCGGAGTCAAGTTGGGCGGAGTTTGGGTTCTCCTTGCCACGCCCCGTCCCCGTCTACCAACTCTGCTATGTGATTGGTCATTAAGTTACTCAACCCCTTTCTCTATTGGCCAAGCTGCCGTCGCTCTTCCTGTTCAGGGAGTTGCTTACGCCTATTTCCTCCCCGGGAGGAGGGGCCCCAGTTCCGCGTCGTCGCGGAGAGCTGACTCTGGGAGGCGTTTGGGCCCAGAGAAGTGGATCGGCTGCTTGCGCCGCATGGAGTCCGAATCGGAAAGCGGGGCTGCCGCTGACACCCCACCGCTGGAGACCCTAAGCTTCCATGGTGATGAAGAAATTATCGAGGTGGTAGAGCTGGATCCCGGTCCGCCGGACCCGGGTGAGAATTGCCAGTCCTCAGGCCACGGGACAGGAGGCGCTCACCTCTGGCCTATGACCCCTGTTTCTCCCCCCTCCCCTCTATACCCTACCGGTCATTCCTACCGACTTCCTTCGCCCTTCCCCTCTCCTCCCACCCCCACACTTCTCAGGCCTGGCTGGGGTGGGGGTTCTCCTGATGCCTCCTCTGGCCCTTCCCCTCACACACCCCCTTCCCATCATCCCCTCGGTCCTCCGTTTCCACATAGCCTCCGGCCAACCCCAGGTGCTCCGACCTCTCCTGTCTCTGTCCCACACGCTTCCGCCTTCCTGCCTCTTCTGCCCCCACCCCCCAGCCCCGCATAATCCCGTTCGTCTGACCTCACCCTCTTGCTACATGACCCACCCCAGCCCTAGGCCTCCCCACACTTGTGTCTCCATCCCCTCCTATCCCTGCTGAGGCCCGTTTTCCTCTCCCCAAAGCAGATGATCTAGCCCAGGAGATGGAAGACGTGGACTTTGAAGAAGAAGAGGAGGAAGAAGGCAACGAGGAGGGCTGGGTTTTGGAACCCCAGGAAGGGGTGGTCGGCAGCATGGAGGGCCCAGATGATAGCGAGGTCACCTTTGCATTGCACTCAGGTAGGTCTCCGTGGAGACCCATCGTACACTGCTGCCAGGCAGGCATTTGAGCCTCGCACAACCGCTGAGTACCGAGCATTCCAAGGGATGCAGAGATAGGGAAATACAGGCTTTGCCCTGGAGGAACTCACAGGTAGGGGGCAGTACCAGGGACCCGAGGAGAGCTTGGCTCCTGGAGTCAGTTGAGAAACTTGAGTTCAAATCCTACCTCTGCTACTTACCAATTTATAATCTTTAAATATCCCTGGGTCTTAATTTCCTTTTAAAAAACCACCTGTGGTAAAAGTTTTTAAAAAGTTACTTTGCTCTGGTCGGTGTGGCTCTGTTGGTTGGGCATCATCCCACAGATGGAAAGGGGAAGAGTTCTGTTCCTGGTCAGGGGACATGTCTGGGTTGTGGGTTCGGTCCCCAGGTGGGGCGTGTGCAAGGGGCAACTGATCGATGTCTCTCTCACATTGATATTTCTCTCCCTTTCTTCCTCCCTTCCCCTCTCCCTGGAATTAATTTTAAAAAATTTTAAAGTAACATTAGTGTAAATTTGATGTTATAGTCCCTTTTTGAGCATATTTTACATCACCTTCAATTATTGGCTCTTAATAAGGATCCAGTAACACAGTGTTCTCCTCCCTGTGCTTGTGCCCAGCCTGGTGGCACCCCATGCGGAGAATGGAAGCCCTGCACACGCACCCTCCTCTTTGCCTTGGCATCAGTGGGCGTGGTGACGGGTGCAGTACTGCAGGGGGATCTGCCCTGGAGAAGTTCTTGGGGCTTGGCAAGCTGCAGGGGGATTTCTGCAATGCTCTGATGCTTGAACTTAGAAGAATTTGGGTGCATCCTTCTTTCCCAGGAGGAAAGACCTGCTTTGGGTGAAGGGGGGTGGGCTTCCTGCAGATCCCGAGGGAGAGAACCCTAGGTAGAAGCCCTGTCCCCTTACCTGTGAAACATTTTTTGGGACAGCATCTGTGTTTTGTGTAAGCCTGGATCCCAAGACCAACACGTTGGCGGTGACGGGGGGTGAAGATGACAAAGCCTTCGTGTGGAGGCTCAGTGACGGGGAGCTGCTCTTTGAGTGTACAGGTAAGGGTGCTCCAGTGAGGTCATGTCCCTTTGACGGTCTTAGGGGGCTCATCTGCAGCAGTTGTGCATCCAGCAGCCACTTATTGACCCCCCTTTTGCCTGCTGTATGGGCCTAAGGACTCCAAAGAAAAATAGCATAGTCCATCATGGACATAGGGAAGGGAGGCCGTAATTGGGCAAGGGAGTCTCCGAAAGTTTTGAGAGGAGGAGACACAGGCTGACAGGAGTATGTGGGAAGAGGGACAGATGTCAGTGTTCCGGGAAGAGGTGTGGGGTGGACTAAAGGGTAGGACATAGGCCTGGGCCATGTGGTTGAGTTGGGAGCCAGCAGTGCCTCCCCTGGGGAGACCTGGGTGTGTAGATTTCTGCACAGACGATGAGTTCGGTTGCCTGTTCTACTGGGATCTGCCCTTCTTCTCCGAGCTGGTCTTTAAGAGGCCAGATGCGTGGGTCATATGTCCCACTACCTGGTGCCTGGTGCCCTGACATTCTGTTTCTGCTTTTTTTTTTTTTTTTGAAAGGTCATAAAGACTCTGTAACTTGTGCTGGTTTCAGCCATGACTCTACCCTAGTGGCCACAGGGGACATGAGTGGCCTCTTGAAAGTGTGGCAGGTGGACACCAAGGAGGAGGTCTGGTCCTTTGAAGCAGGAGATCTGGAGGTGAGATCATGGGAGTGGGATTCACCTCTGCGGGGCCTTGGGTAGTGGGCGAGAGCTTGGGGGCTCAGCCTCACCTTTCCCAGACCAAGCCATCTCTGAGCCAGCGCACTCTCGAGTACAGCAAGCACGCCCGTGCCTGATACCTGGAGTGTCCCCTGCTGGCTCAGAGCAGGAGAAGCTTGGTAGGGTTCGTTAGGCAGGTTCCTGGTGGGATGGGGTGACAGGCCACCCTGCTGACCCCTCCTCTCTGTCCAGTGGATGGAGTGGCACCCTCGGGCACCTGTTCTCTTGGCGGGCACTGCTGATGGCAACACCTGGATGTGGAAGGTCCCGAATGGTGACTGCAAGACCTTCCAGGGTCCCAACTGCCCAGCCACTTGTGGCCGAGTCCTCCCTGATGGTGAGCGGAGGGCTTCCCTGAGTGTCCTTCCTTGAGTTCAGAGAGGGTGGATGCGGAGTTACGTGCTTCTTAGGCTCCCTCCCAGACCACAGCCTGCAAACTCTAGGCCTCTTCTCTGGAGCACTGACCTCCCAGGCCCCAGAGAGACAGCTCCCTCTTTTCCACCCTGAACTGGGTTCCCTCTGCTGGTCCCCGGGGCAGAGTCTCTCCCCTCACTTATTTCCCTCTCTTGTGCCAGATTCCCCTGGTGGGTGTGTCTGAGTGTGCTGTCTGTCTTTCTCTCTTCGTCTGTGCCTCTGGCCCTTTAGGGAAGAGGGCCGTGGTCGGCTATGAAGATGGCACCATCAGGATTTGGGATCTGAAGCAGGGAAACCCTGTCTACGTACTAAAAGGTGTCCAAGTGCGGGGAGTGTCGCCCTGGGCCTTTGTGGGGTGAGGACTAAGACCTGGGGCAGAACTCAGAGGGGACAGGGTGAACGTGACTTATCCCCTTGCCCCAACCTAGGGACTGAGGGTCATCAGGGCCCTCTGACCTGTGTCGCCACCAACCAGGATGGCAGCCTGGTCCTTACTGGCTCCGTGGATTGTCAGGCCAAGTTGGTCAGTGCCACCACCGGCAAGGTGAGCGGGCCCTCCGCTTTCTGCGTCTTCTTCCCTTTTCTCTTATTCTTCACTGGACTCCCTGCCCCACCGCCTTCCTCCTCTGTTAGAGCACCAAGCCCTTCTCTGATGCTTTCCTCTGGCTCATAGGTGGTGGGTGTTTTCAGGCCCGAGACTGTGGCCTCCCAGCCCAACCTGGGAGAAGGGGAGGAGAGTGAGTCCAACTCAGTGGAATCCTTGGGCTTCTGCAGTGTGTGAGTGTGAACCAGGACCTTGTCCTGGAGACGGCCCGAAGATGAGAGGGATGGGCTTGGGGGAGGGCCTGGGCTGGGGTCCAGGAGGGAACGAAGGGCGTGGAGCCCAGTCCCTCTGTGAGCCTCGTGGTGCTTTCTTCTACCCAGGATGCCTCTGGCAGCTGTTGGCTACCTGGATGGGACCTTGGCCATCTATGACCTGTCTACGCAGACCCTCAGGCACCAGTGTCAGCACCAGGTAAAGGCGGCCCGGAGCCATGGTCATGGCCGCGGGGAAGCCCAGGGCTCAGGGAGCATCTGCCCCAGACCTGGGTCCTGCTGGGTCTTTCTGTGGCCCATGTGCCCACCCTACCTCCCTCCATGAGAGGTGGGAGCAGGTGTCTCTCACCTCTCCTGCCCTGACCTCCGCCTTTCCTCGGTTGCACCCTGGCACAGTCGGGCATCGTGCAGCTGCTGTGGGAGGCAGGCACCGCTGTGGTTTACACCTGCAGCCTGGATGGCGTCGTGCGCCTCTGGGACGCTCGGACTGGCCGCCTGTTGACTGACTACCGGGGCCACACAGCTGAGATCCTGGACTTTGCCCTCAGCAAGTAAGTGAATGGGGCAGGGGCTAGGGTGCCTGTATTTGGAAGGTGGGGACAGTACATGGCGGGCCACAGGGACTCGGGGGTGTGGGGGTGGTTCCTGAGGGAAGACGGGACCTGAGGCCTGGTCATGGCTTGTGAGGCGAGAGTGCTGAGAAGCCTGAGGGAGTCGTCACTGGCAACAGTGACTCACAGGTCTCGCATCAGTCGGGGGCCGAGGAGTTGGGAACTGCTTCCCCTGCGCCGTGGTGTCCCTCTCACCCCTTCCCTCCTTCCCTCACTGGTTGCTGGCTTCACGTGTGTTCATTCCGTGTGCATGTCGGCCAGTGCTAGGCACTAGGAGTCTGGAATATGTGCCGGAGGAGGCCACTGGGGGCCCCTGGGTAGTGGGCTCAGAGCTGGCCCCAAGGCCCCTCCTCCGACCCATGCCTTTGTTCGCAGAGATGCCTCCCTGGTGGTGACCACGTCAGGAGACCACAAAGCAAAAGTATTTTGTGTCCAGAGACCTGACCGCTAGTGGCCGCAGCCTCTGCTTTGTGTCTGGCGTTGAGGAGGTGAAGGGAGACCCCTCACCAGCAGAGGCAGGAGGGTACGAGGGAAGAGGGTGGGAGGGGCCTCGGACTACTTTCCAACCCCTTCATACTGACTTGCCCTCTCTATCCCTTTCTTCCCTTAAGAGACCCACCCCTCGGGTACCTCGCCCCCTCGCCCCTCACCCAGACCTGGGGGGTCCCTCAGAGGGAGGTTCAGACCTCTTTCCCTTACTTTTCATTTGTGGGTGTGAGTCCTGGGCTGTGCATTTGTATGTGGGGAGTAGGTCTTTGAGGCGCCCGTTCTTTCCCTCCCCGAGTCTCGGGGCGTGGAAAGGAGGAAGAGATATTAGTTACAGATTTTAAAAATGTAAATAAAATGTACTTCCCAGAGACAGTGTCTACGTTGATTTTGTGGGGGCCGGACCTGAGGAAGAACCAGTGAGGGGCATGTCAGGCTGAGGCCCCCCGCCCCGGTCAGCCACCTCTCCGGCACTCAGCTCACCCTGTCTGCTGGAGGTGCGTCCTCACCTGCAATTGCTGGCCTGTCTAGAGCTGGAATCCCCCTTGATGCCTGCCTGGCTTTAGGTTCTTCCCACAGCCCTTGTACTTGTTTCTTCCTGTCTGCAATACAGAATAAGTTACCAATAAACTGGGCCAGAGGAGTTTTACTTGACCAGGGTGTGGAAAACTAGGAGCAGGGTCCCTGATCCAGAGGTGCGTAGACAAATGGGAACAGGCTTGGTGGCTGAGATGGATGGATGCTTCTATTAGGAGTGAGCAGAGAGAGGCCCTTCCCCTAGTTCAAGTCCAGGTCCGTGCTGCTTTGGCTGCTGGTGCAGTAGGCAGCGCTGGGGCCAGGAGTGCCCTGGGAGGCTCTGCCCCGGAGCGCCCGCAGCCACCTTTGGGCGGCTGCCCTCCAGGGAGCGGTGTAGCGCTGGTCGCCTAGTCCCATGGCCACAGGCACAGCCGCTGCGCTGGCACTGCCCAGCGAAATGAGGGACAACAGAGGTCCAGGCCCCAGCGGTGGGCGCTGCTCATAGGCCAGCACCGAGAGGAGCAGGGTGGCCACGTAGGGCCCCCAGCAGAGCCCAAAGAGCAGGGTGGCTCCAGCCTGCGCCCTCGCTTGCCTCCAGGTAAGGGCCCTGGCCAGGGCTGAGGGCGCCCCACGGCATACTGCCCGCTCTAGCCGGCGGATGTCCTGCAGCTGGCGGTGGGCAGTGGCCAACACGCGGACGGAGAGAAGGGCTGCAGCCCCCACGGCAGGCAGCAGCAGCCCGTAGACTTCGAGGTAGAGGTAGGGGGCTGGGAAGACAGCTTGGGAGCTGCAGTTGGCACCGGGGGCCCAGTGGTTCCATCCCAGAGCGGGCAGGCTGGCGAAGAGCAGGGGGCCAGCCCAGGTGAGGAGCAGGGCCAGCCGCGTGCTCCCAGGGGCCTGGAGGGGCCGCAGCACGGCCACGTAGCGTTCCCCGTGCACCAGCAGCAGGTTGGCGAGCAGGGACAGGAAGGAGAAGTTGGGAGCCAAGTGGAGGAAGAGACAGGACCAGTAGCCTCGGCGGCTTTGGCTCCACAGGCCTGGCAGTGCGGGCAGTGCCAGCCCCGTGAGCAGCCCAGCGAGCAGCAGGCTCAGGAAGAAGCAGCCAGCGGGCAGGCTGCGCAGGCGGCGGTCCCCGGCGATGCCCAGGGCCAGGAGCAGGTTGGCCACGACGATGAGGCTAGCCAGGACCAGGGAGAGTCCGAAGGCCCCCATGGGAACAGCACTGGGCTCCTCCCTGGTGCCGTTGGATGTCATCTTGGGCCCAGGGACAGCGGGGAGCTGGAGCAGCTGCGGGCACGCCTGGACAGGAAACGGGGTGGCCAGAGTCAGGCCGGGGCTGCAGGACACTGCCCTCTTGGGGGACGCGCATTGATCTAGAGGTTGCTGCTCAGTGGACTGCCATACAGACATTTTTTTTCAACGAATGGCCAATTAAATTTTACATAAAAATTTCTATTTTGGGCTTCTCTTAAGAACTCCGTTGTGGCAACATGTGCTGTATGGTAGCAACCAGCTGGAGTGCAGCAGTGGCTGTCTTCAAACAGGTCCCTGCAGTCCCCTTCACCCATTTCTGTCACCTGCTAGGTCCCCTCTGAGCACCTGTGGGTATGCCTGTTTAGATTAAAAGGTGGACCTACCCAGCAACAAAGCCTCGTGTCTATCCCTGCCTCTACCTGGTAAGGCCTCTGAATTAGCCAAAGGGGAAAATAGGGTCTGGCCGGTGTGTGGTGGTCCTCTGGCCATCCAGAGTCGAGAGCCACCTTCGGGCTGGTGCCAGATGTTAGGAGTGGCCGAGAGACGAAGAAGGGTCCCCCCGTTGAGATGCTCCAGTTGGCACCAGGGCATTAAGAGTTAGGGGGGAGGCAAGAGTGAGGCCGAAACAGGGCCCACTGAGCATTAGAGTTAGTGATGAGTCCAAGGCAATGGCAGCAGTAAGTGGGGTGCCTTGTCCCTTGCACCCCCCCTCCCCATCTGTCCTTGAAGCCTTTTGGTTACAGATCAGTGAGCAGCCTCCGGCCAATAAACTTGACTCATCTGCACTGCACTAGCAACAAGGTCCCTTCCTGGGAACGGGAGGAGGGAGAGCAGTTGCTGGGGGCAGGGTGGGGTAGGGGAGGACTGGCGGTGAATGCAGAGATGTCAGCCGCAAGGCGGATATAACCCTGCCCCCCCCCCCCCCACACACACACACACACTCAGGGCTGAAGCTAACCCTGGAGGGGAGGGAAGAGGAGCTGCTGGACGGCCTGGCCCCTGCCTTTTCCTTCACTTGGCCTCTTGGTCCCACTGCCACAGCAGGCAACGGGGAGGGTCCTGAGCCCTGCTGAACCCCTGTTTCTGTCTGCAGGGGAGCAGCTGATATTGCCAGGAATCAAGGTTGATAAGGAAAGGAGTCCTACCGCCCCCTCCGGCAGGAGGATCAGAGGGCCCACAGCCACCCTGAGCCCACAGCCCCTCCTACTCAGTTCCTCCCAAGACCCTCGAGTGGGGCTTCCAAGCTGCTGCACCCATTTCCCTTCTCGTTTTCTCTTCCTAAATCTTCCCCAGTGCCCTGCCCCACCTCAGGACAGCTATCCTTCTTAGCAGCCCTCCGGTTCTGTTCCCCTTTGTCCCTGCATGGTCAACTCTATTAAACCCTGCAAGACCTCAGGGTTCCTTACTTCAGACCTAGCCTCTGGATCCTGGGCTGGAGCTCCAGCCCTCCCCTGGAGTGAGTCCCCTATTCCACTTCCACCAGAGCAGCAAGAAAGGCAGGGTCAGCCAGCCCCCATGGGTGACTTCACAGCGGCCTGTGGGTAGTGTGACCTGCACACGGCACACCCTGGTGGCTCTGGTGGCTCGTCCTAGGTGTAATGGTCCTTTTAGGATCTGGGGCTGAGGTTTCCAGGTGTAGCCAAGGTGGGGAGAGGGGCACAGCTACTCACATGGCAGTTGGAGACAGGTGTTGCTCACTGGGCTTTCCTCTGAGTGTCAGGGAGCTTCCGCAGCCAGCCTGACAGGGCTTCCGGAGATGCCTGATGTCCTGGCCTGGGAGAGCATGGTGCCTCCACTCTGCAGGACAGAAGCACCCAGGGCTCTTGGCAGCCCAGGCTCTGCCCTTGCCTGGGTTCTGGGGTGGGTGGAGCTGAGGCCCTCGGCCTGCCGGTCTCAGCCTGGCCCCGCCTCTGAGGGTGGGACCTGGCACACCCTGGCTGTAGCAACTGGGAGACCTTTCTCCCTCTCCTGCCGTACCAGCTTCCCTTTCCAGACACCAGTGACAGATTGTCACTTAGATGGCAGATCCTCTACCTCAGGTCACCCAGTTTGGAGACCTCTCTCCTGCTATTGCCTAGCTAATCTGAGAAATGCATCCCAGTGAATGAATGATGATTTCTTCTACCCCTCCCCAGTTTCCATCCCAGCTAATGCATTTACATTTTATGAACCTTATTCCAGAGTGGCCAGCAAGCTGACAGCTCCCTGAGCTCCCTTGGCCCCACGTAAGAGCTGCTGATTCTGCCTGTCTGCAGAAGAGGGTGTCTGCGCAGCGGTGGCAGCAGTGGGCATGTTTGCGCCTGAGGCTCTTCACTGCCCCACCCTACTGCCTGATGGGCTTTTCAGCTTATAAAGCCAGTCTTGCCTTCTAGAGTCATTCTATATTTTTCTCATCTACTTTGTGAGTCAAATTCTGGGCTACGAGGTACAAATAGCTCTGAGGATGTGTCCTTGGGCCTCAATTTTCCCACCTGTGAAATGGGAAGAAAACAAGCCACTCGGGGCTGTTGTGGAAACTGCTATGGCACAGGTGGCAAACACAAGGCCCGAGGGCTGAAACCAGCCCTTCCCCTTGTTTTATCCCGCCTGGTACCTGATTTCTACCCAGCGGCAGTGCCAAGCTTTCGCTTAACTGTTAAGGAGTAGTTACATTTATACAGCCCTAAAATTATACCTGGCCCTTTGAAGGCAACCGGGAGGCCGATGCAGCCCCCTGTGACAATGAGTTTGATGCCCTGTCTATGGGATAACATGTAACTGATCAGATCCCAGAGGGTCTAATTAACAAGGGGATGGACGTCTCAGGAAATGGCTCCTCTCCCTCCTCTTCCACGATGTTAAGAGGCATAAGCCAGTGTTACAGTCTGAAAGCCTGGCTGTGAATCTCAGAATTCCAGCTGAGATCCTACTGTTTTTAGCTGTGTGAATTTGGGCAAAGTAACTACAGTGTTCTTGTCTTAGTTTCTTCATCTGTAAAATGGGGCTCATCTTGTCCTCACCTGTTGTGAGACTAAATGAGGTAGTATGTGATCCAAACTTAGACCAGTGCTTGGCACAAAAGCACTCGATGAAAGGTGGCTGTTATTAACATTATTAGGACTTCTGCCGTTCTCTGCTTGTCCCTTCCCTCCAGCCAACCCTCCCCTTGAAGAAAGAATCCCCTTGAGAAAGGCCGGTAGCCTGTGAAAGTAAGAGAACAATGACACTTTTACTCCACAGGGAAACTGAGGAAACTATGTACAGCCATGTGCCACTTAATGACAGGGATACTTTCTGAGAAATGTGTCCTTAGCAGATTTCGTTATCGTGGGGATGCCATGGAAGGCACTTATGCAAACTCAGATGGTGCAGCCTACTCCTCACCCAGGGTTAGTGCAGCCTACAGCTCTGTAGGGGAGGAAAAATAATTTGCCCTCTAACCTGGGTTCTTGGCAGAGACATGCCTATAATAAGAGATCAACAGGAGAAAAACAAATTGGTAACATGTATACATGGGAGTGACCCAGGAAAATGAGTAACTTGCCACAAGGTCGGAAGCCATCCCCTTTAATGCCGTCGGCAGCTTACCACAGAAGATGTTGGGGGTGGGAGGAAAAGCGCGGTAAACCAGGGTAAGGTCGTTATGCAAATTTCAGTGTGGTCATCTACGCTGTAAGACTTTCTCGAGATATGGTCATCCCCCTCTTCCTGGTGCACGAAGGGAGACACCCTTGCAAATGGAGACTTCCCTTTCTACTTGGTTTTCAGAGCTTCTTCCAAGTCTGAGGGTTGCTTAAAATCCACCAGCCTAAAAAAATAATCCTTATGCTAATGAGACATATTTGGGGTGGCAAATCTTGTTCCCTTACAGCTCCTAGGCTACCAGTACAGCATGTTACTGTTCTGGAGATGTAGGCAACTGTAACACGATGGTAAGTATCTGTGCGATGCGTTTTGCTACAACACCGGGAGATAGGAATTTTACATCCCCATAACCATGTGGGACCACCGCTCTACATGCAGCCCTTCACTCACCAAAACGTCCTTCTGCAGTACAGTGAGAAGAAGGAAGGGCAAGTTCAGGGCCGGGAAGCCAAGAGGTGTGCTCCCAATTTTACCCTGTATCGAGTTTGGCTTTAAGGTGAGGGAGACGCCAGTAACACTCCCTTATGACTTGAAATGGGAGGAAATAGGCTAAAATTGCAGAAAGCAAGCTGGAGGTGAGACATTAAGGAAAAACTTCACTCAAGAATACAAGTGGACAGAGCATGGGGACTTTGGGGCCTCTGGGAGAGACCAAGGTTGGAGGGCTGGAGGCGCAGCAGTCAAGGGGTCCTGGAGAGGCAGGACTTCCGTTGGGATAAAAAGTGGGGAGAGGAAAGCATTCAGCCTCAAACCTCCCCTCCAAGGAGCTGATGGGCGGAGGACACTGGCTTCCAGACGGTCCTCAGCCCCACGCTGTCAGGCAGAAGTCAGAGGCTCTGGGAGAGTTCATCCTGGAGTCTGGACAGAAAAGGGTGTGGGGCCCCTTGATACTGGGCTGCCAGGAATAAACAGACCTCCTTCTGTTCCCGGCCCTGGCCTCCTCCCCGAGGAATCCAGGATGTCTGTGTTTCTTCTTCACTGCTCTGTCTAAACACTGTGTGTGGGATGACGTGTGAAGGGGGACAGTTTGGGCGGCGGGAGTGGGGAAGCCTGGGTCCTGTCCCTTGCTTGCTCAGCCATTTCTTCCTTCCTGGATCATCCAGTTCCTGTCTGCTCCTCCATCAATTTTTGGGACTGGCTCATCTGCCTACTCCCCTTCACCCACAGGAGGGCCCCGGTGCAGGCCCTTTGCAGGTGCTCCATCCAGCTAACTCTGCAGGCTCTGGCACCCCAACCCCACCCTGCTCTCCTTTCCTTGGGTTGAGTCTGCCTCATGGTACCCAGTCCAGAGTACGGCAGGGAACCCTTCAGGGCCTCCCTTGTCCATTCCATTCTCTTGGATGAATTTCTCCGCTGACCCTCAGTGTCTGGATGCGGCATGCAGTGAGTGGAGGCAACGGGACACTGGGACCTCCTGGACCCTGGTGGGCCTCCTTGAGCCGCTGTCCAACTCTTCACTCTCTGTTGGGAGTCTCAGAAGAGGTCCGGGCACCATCCTGTGACAGAGCAGGCCAGGATTCTGCCTTCAGGGAACTGAAATGGGGCAGAAGAAACTGGTCCTGTTAGGGTTAAACAGCCAGATTCTCCAGGTCTCCCAGGAGCCTCGGAAACTGCAGTGCTTTTATTGATTCCCAAAGGGGTAGGTATTGCTTGAACTCGATAGCGTTCCCCCTGGGTCCCCCCAAAAGACCCAGGCTTGGGTCTTAGGTCCCAGTAGTTTCTGGGATGAAAGGTCATCATTCCAACTTCGAGACTGAAGGAGTTGAAATGGCAACTGTTAAGTACCACCTCCCCATAAGATAGCAGATGCAGTGACTACCAGCACTGCCTTTTCCCGGTTTCAACTTCCTGTTCTGACCCCACCTTTCCACTTCCTGTTAGTCCTTTCCTGCCAAGCTTGCCCAGGTCCCGCTTTATCCAGGGATGGAGATGCCAACCAAATCCTCCTCATGCCTGGTTGCAGCTTAAGGGCCACCCAAACAGAGAAAAATACCTAGTTTCTTGGAAAGGACCATGAAAGCCCCAACCAGGGGTGTCCAACCTGCAACCCCCGTGCCACACGCAGCCCAGGATGGTTGTGAATGCAGCCCACCACAAAATCGTAAATTTTACTTAAAACATTGATATGTTTTTGATTATGTGTTGCAATGTATTTCACGTGTGGCCCAGAGAGGCCAAAAGGTTGGACGCCCCTGCCAGAATGACTGACCTTGGCTTACATATATTGACCTCGGCTGTATACGAAATGGAACAAAGATTTATTAAATGACATTATCAAGTATATAATTATAGGCATCATAATTGTCTTCAAAACTTCTCACCCCTACAGTTTATATCCAAGGTCATCTGCACCTTCCAGAAGCGAACCTGGGGCAGGTGAGCCAATCAGTAGCGACCTAGATGAGATCACTTCCCCAGCCCACATCCTCTGCATGCTGGCCATCCTGAGAACCCCCTCCTCCCACAGTCCTATGGGACTTGGCTGAAGTTACCGGGCCTTGGTCCACAAAGGGAGGGGCTTTGAGACGAGGGCCACGCTGACACCAAGTATGTCCTGGACACAGGTGAAGACAAAGGCACAAGTCTGGAGAGGGGCCTTCATTGTTTTTTTTTTTTTTTTAATGAGAAGTCTTGGAATGAAGACAATGCCCTGGGACTTAATGCTGTAAAAAATATGTAGCGCCTTGCTTCCCCCCTAATTCGGTATTTCCTACGCAACCTGGGTTGTTTTCTTGTTTTGTTTTACTATCTACAGATGATAGATTTCATATTCTCAGAAATCTGATCCCCACTACTAGCAAAAAGAGTCCAGTGGATTCCAACTTACTGAGTTATGTTCTAAAATCAGCAGGAAAGCAAAAACTGCCACTAGTCAAAACGGCCCTTGAAAACCCCTATTAGTTCCTGGGGGACAGAACACATACATGTCACCAACACCCAAGGCATCTCATTTGGCCAGGTTTCCCACCTACGAAAAGCAGGCGACAAGGGGCCGTCCCAGGAGAACGCTGGGAAGACTCCACTGGAGCACTCTGTCCGCGTTCATCGGAGGCCTCGGGTCAGCACTGCCGGGGGACAGCACTCTCTGGGGGACAGGCCTGTTGAGGGGATGAGCACGGTACTCTATAACTATATCCCGAGCTCTCTAAGGGCCCTTAAGTGAAGTAAAATGAAGTCTGGATGACTAAATGACCTTGCGA